GACACAGAGATAGTGCCCGGGCAGAGACCTGCAGCTGAAGTTTGGAACTCGTTTTAGTACGCACAGGAAGAGTCAGAATAGTAGTTCTTCGCAATAAGGCATTTACATTTTTTTCTCTCCGGTGAAAATGAGTGATCTGTAAGGACTGCTATTTGCATAACGGTCCAGACTTGCCTTGAAGTAGTGGCTACAACCGCGCTTCTAGGTGAACATTTTCAATGCTTTCAGTAACCACAGATAATACCTGACTTATGCATCCTATTTGTATCAAACTTAATTTTTTCAAGTCGGTATCACTCACACAAAGACATTCACCATTAATCCTGTCGGTGGCAGCAGCACTTTCCACCTCAGGACACTTAAGAAACTCCTGAATCCTGACCAGGACCGGGCAGAACACAACCTTAGCGGGGCTGAGAAGCTGAACGTGCAGAGGTACCCAAACTGGGGGATTTTCTTGAGCGTACTCTATTGCAGCGCGAAGGTCTTTGGCATCGTTGCAACTTAACATGGAAATAACAGCACTTGATTTGCGCACAGCATCCTCACCGGGTGGCAGAGAGCCGCCCCACGCAGGGGCCACCGCGTTCAACACAAGGTGCAGCAGCAACAGCCAGAACCGCGAGTGCTTTGTCGTCCAAGGTCAGTTGGTTGCGGAGTTGGGAGCATTGGGTCATCCAAGGTTGGTTGGGATCAGCGTGGTCAAGTCCAACACGTCTACAGGTGCCTCCCCGCTGCGCCCGTTCCCAAATCTAGACATTCGTAACCAGCATCGCCAGGAGGAGGGGGAAGATTCCTACAAGAGACAAATAAGAAGCTTAAGTCTTCACTCCAAACATATTCGACTATCTTTTCTCTCCCTGGTCCCCTTTACTTCCCCCCCCCCACCCTTTCCCAGCACCATCTTAAAGCAACAAAAATATAAACCTGACAACAGAGTGTAGTGGGAGGCTTTTAAGCGTCTGTCAAGCAGAACATACAGGAGACAATAACATAAAGATGGCAAGAGTGCGGTACAGGGGTTCAGGAATACGTATTACTTACCAGCAATGATCACGTTTGCTCCACCTGGAAAAGAAGTGGCAGAAAAACTCAGCACGGTAATTCATCAAACTACACAACGTGCAGTATCCCAAATCAGAGCCGTTGCACATGGAAGAGAACTCAAGCAATGCGCAGAACAGGATCCCCGCACGGCCCCACTCTGCAGATATTTATCTGTTAAAACCCCGGATACATTTCCACTAGCCTGCGAGTCCACGCCGCCACCTAATCATGCTCTTTTGGCAGTAGATTTTAACTGAAGCTGTTTCAGGAAGCATCGAAGGCTTATTCCTTAGCAGAATGACCTGATTCGAGGATTCGCAGAGGAAGGAAAAAAATAGGTATTTTGAAGACAGAGAGGAGGCAGCAAGACAGAGACAGGAGAGTCACCTCTGCATTCAGGAGCGGGCTCGTTCCACACTCCCCGGTACTGATCTCCTGCCATGCACTGAAGGAGGGCCGCTCCAGCAAGGGTGAAGCCATCCCTGCATTTATAAGCTACAGTGGAGCCATGGACAAAGACTGTGCCCTTTGTGCCGTTGTGCATCCCATTGTCAATGGTGGGGGGCTCTTCACAGCGACTGTCAGAGTGCCGTCCTACAGGAGGGACATCAGCAAGAGTGTCTGAGTACTTCTCCCAGCTGAAAAGGTGAAGAGGCGTACGGGGAGAAGGAGGTACAGCCACACGCCACGCACTTCGCAGCAACTGAAAACGCTTTGAGTTATCTTGCTTAGTACTGGACCTCAGTTACTGCCCGTTAGCCACAACTCCAGGAGCTCACCCCATGAAATAAGCCACAGAAGTGCCTAATCAGGCTAGAAGAAATGTTTCAGCCGTTTCTAGCTTCACCTAACACCGTATACTGACTTCATAACACCTGCTTTCTGCATGATACTAAGTTGAGTGGACAAAGTTCTAACATCCAACGATCTTCATCTTTCCCCGGTAAACAGAGAAACAAAACTTTCCTCCTGTGACTGTTTTTTTTTCCCCTATAATTTCTGCCTTTCCCTTGCTTCTTCCACTTTGTCAGCGTAATTTCTGAATTGCATGAGGACACTGCCTAAGGCCTCACAGCAGGAGTTAGTACTGATACCATGAATTCTACCGCTGACTGAATTAAGAAACACAAGTAAGAGCAGCCCAAGCCCACCAGCGAGGCAGCTATTATCTTAATGGCTCTGCGTAGAGGTTTTCGTGCTTACTTTCACAGTATGGAGATGCTGTATCCCAATCGACTCCATTTCCTGATACCACACATTTGGCAGAAGATGACTGCTTTAGTTCGTACCTAAAGAAAGAGAAGAAGTTTGGTGCTTTCCAGAAGATGGCCCAGAAAGGGTTCTTCCCCCACACCACCGCGTGTAGGCCACCAGAAGTTGCCCCTGCTATGAAACGGGATTTGGTCACATCAAAGCCACTAAGTAAGGGCACACAATATACGGTTTCACTGGAGATTTGACTGGGAAACCGGGGAGGGGGGGGTGGACGTTCCTGCCTGTGACCCCTGTCTTCTGACCCCTGAGTCGGTACCTTTTAAGCAGCGATCCACTCACCCGGGATGACAGCGGAATGTCACAACCGTCCCAAACATGAAATTCTCTGCAATCACATCCCCATTCTCTATCTTGGGAGGAGCACATTGCTGTCCTGGAGGAAAAGAAAGCAGCAGGGGAATTACTTCAAACTCTGAGACGGGCATGACCCAAATTTCAGAGCAGCATCTCAAGCGCGCACAGATCACTCACGCAGTCAGTCAAGACAGAAGAGGAACAGAGGTACTCACGTATGCAGAAGTCTGAGTCTACAGACCAAGTCGGACCCCTCAGACAAGTGACAACAGAGGACTTCCCACTAGCTAGAGCATAACCCGGTTTACACCGATACATCAGCTTCGTTTCGGCTGGAGAGCTGTCACCCACAGCGCTTGTTAACTCGGCGAAATGGAATTGCGGGGCAGGACCACAGGGGACTAACAACGGGAGACAAAAGCAAGGTTAGGCACAGAAGAGCACCCAAAGGGTCTGCAATAACACTAGCGAGCTGCGTGCTTTGGAGCACACAATATTTTAACCTGTCTAAATATCGGTGCCTGGCATACAGTTTGCATCCAACCTATGTAGCAACCAGAAGCATAGATCACAGTTTGCTTAACTGTGGAAAAGATGGAGGTTGGGCAGCATCTCTGCCTCAGAGACGCTCCTTCAGTGACCACCAACCCAACCTGCAGGACCTCGATTCGGCTGAGCTCAGAAGCCGAACGTCCCCAAGAGGTCTGGACGCCGGCGCAGCGAGCCCGGGGGGGTGTAAAGGCCATTTTGTCTCTCCTTTCGGTGCACTTCTGGATCATTTGCTGTTCACCAATAAACAGCTTCAGGTCTAAATATATACCTGCCGTGGGCTGCCATGCCGAGGACCCAAGCCAGCGTGCTCTGCCGCGGCACGGCTGCAAGCGCACAAGCTTTGGGAGCCGATCTGCCCAACAGCTCTTAGACCTACTGCAGCGCAATTGCTGAAGGAAATAAATTTGTTTGTACTCACTTGGGTCACATGTTGGCAGACGCGGCTTCCAGGTATTGTCTGCTTCACAAGTAACTACACCGCTACCGTTCAATACATGACCAGAATCACACTCAAAAATCACTGTATTTTTATATGTGTGCTCAGTGCCGAAGCCAGACAACTTTCTCCCATTTTTCACTTTTGGATTTTCACATCTGACCACTGGAAGTGAAGATAAAACAATAAGAATATTTATTACAAGGAGGAAAAGCCGTGCTGTGACACCAGAGGCATCACGCGAGAAGCTCACGAATGAGAACTGCCGTCCTGTGGCTCTGCGAGAGGCCGGTCCCCGGGGGGGTGCAAGTACTCCGTGAACAGAGACTGCATCAAGAATCGGCACACGTGAGAGCTTCAGTTTTCATCCGCAGGAAGCCCTGGGCACGGGCCGGGAGAGGGAGGCTTTCGGGGGGCTGCACAATCCATTAAACAACCCATTAAACCAAGCCCTGCCTCTGGCCGCGACTGGGGAGATCACTGCACTGAGCTTTCTACAAATCATTTTAGACTCAAATCAACCTTCTCGCGTTTGGCAGCTCATCAGGAAAGTACAGATGGGGAGAAGGACGAGAAACAAAGTCAAAAAGAATAAGGAGAGAAAGAAAGCATTTACCTTTGCATTCAGGGGCTGGACCGCTCCATTTTCCGTCAAGTTTATCATCTGTCGTCGTACAGTGAATCTCAGCGTTTCCAATAAGAGAAAAATGTTCGTTACAGCTATAAGTTACAACCGCGCCAACGGTGAAGTCTCCGGCCCCGCTGTTGATCTTCCCATTCTTGATCTCAGGAGGTGGTGAACAGGGAATAACTGCACGGGAAAACAGCAAGAAAATGCAAGAACATTTCCATCAAATATGAAACTGAGGTCTAGCTACTAAAAAAAAACCCCACAAAACAAACAAACAAAGTCATGAAAGCCAAAAAAAAAAAAAATATGGGGAAGCAGCCCTAAAGGAATCATCTGAACCTAAAGTCTTGAACGCATCTTTAAATTCTGAATGTTTTCCAGGTTTTTTAAATGGATAACGGAAAAACAGCATCTATTGTCCAAGAGGAGAGACCACAGAAGAGGCCTTCTGGAGGCAATAAACGTGGTCTCACCAAGCAGTTTGGGACTCTCACCTCCTGGTGATGGCATTTCCTACCTTCGTTATGCTAACAAGGACGAGGCCAGAATGCCTATTATAGCAGCAAACCACCTAAACTATCGGCGGCTGATGGGCAGGCCCATCCCACAGAATGCTAAAAAAGCCCAAACAGCACCAACAAAACTCTTAGAATGTATTTCTCCTTTGAAAATTAAAGAGTTTGGATGCGCAGTCACGTCTGAAGGCATCCCAGTCCCGGTCAAGCGCAGCTCTGGAGAAACAATTCAGCAACCATTGCCGGATGGACAACGAGAGGAGAGCGATGCGGCGTCCGCACCAGCCTGGCGGAAAGCTCGCTGCGTGCCTGGGCAATACCAACAAACAGCCTCGGGAGCTGCTCTTCTCACAGATCTGACTGCGGAGCTGCTGCCAACATCCACAGATCCTCCTTAGCATTTGGTTTTCATTCCCAGCTCCAGCCAGAGCGTTTGTCTGGGGCAGAGGTAAGGAGTCAGTCTCATTAAAGGCTAATGTAATTCCCATTAGGTGCCAAGAAGAGAGTATCCGCCTGCCGTTCCCCAAACTACCAGATACACGGTAATAGCTTTGAGAAAGAGATGTACGCAAAACATTTCAGATCTGCTTACTGGCACAGTGTGGCACGTGACTCCAATGAACTCCACTGTCCCCAAGTATACATTCTGCGGTCGACTCCCCAACTAAGCGGTACCTAAGAAATGAAAAGGTTGAATCTCTTTGCAGAAAGTGGGGGAAAAAAAAACTTAAGAAATTCAGAAAGTTGTACAGTTTCTAATGGTATTCTCTGGAGGCACTGAACCCCAGGGGAAAACCAGCTAGTCCTCCTATAAAATACAATTTTCTCAATACCTAAAAAATGCAATATATGGTGCAGTGAGAGGAAACTTCATACTTGCAGTGGGTGGATACAAACTCACAGGAGTGTGAGCAAGACGGCATCCGCACCCTGAGCCTGTTCAGCCCTGGGCAGTCGGAGATCCAAACAGCAACTTATTTTCTGAGCAGAGCTAGGTGTGACTGACGTACCTTAACCACTCTCTTTCCCTCTCGCCCCACTCCCGTCATCCCCGGGACACGACAACCCTCTTTTCCCGAGACCCCTTAGCTAAGACACCGACAGCCAAACCCACGGCAAACCAGCAAATGCTGAATTACCAATGAGCACCAACAGGAAAGGAACAAAGGTCTTTGCAAAGCAAAAGAACAAAGGTCTTTTCGACAGCAAGAGCAGGAGAGAGCCCGGTCCCCGTGGCTCCCCGCTCCGAACACCTCCCGCCGTGCCTCTGCTAGCCCAGGAAACAGCCCCCGGCCATTAAAAGCCTCCGGGTCCCCCATGGGCGCCGTCTCCCAGCCTCAGCGCTGTCACCTCACCAGGAGCCTGGGCCAACGCTTACCCATCGTTACAGGTGTAGGTTATTTTCGCCCCGAACAGGAGATCGGTGGTGGAGGCAAACTTGCCATTCGTGATGTCTGGTAGACCGCACGACTTTCCTGGAAAGGCGAGCGATCAGCATTAGCTTTATCTAGAGTGATAATGAAGCGCAGGTGACAGTGCTGTTCAGTGTTGTTATAGACTACTTGACCATTTATCGGGCATCTAACTTCCCTCACAAGCAAGTACCAGCACGTTCAGGAACGATACAAGATCCACATTAACTTCTGAGGAACTAAGTTAAAGCACAAGCAAAAAGAAAGTAAAAGCACAAATAAAGCTAAAGGAAAAATTTAAAAAGCCAAAGTTTATATGCTTACTGAGAAGGAAAACTGATAAAGAGCCCGGTGGGCTCAGGGCAGAGGCCTTGGTCTGTAGG